ACCTGCAGCTGGGGTGGCCTCTGGGAGAGGTTCCCCTGCAGCTGCGCTTCGAATAAAAACATTTTTTCCTCTCCCTGCTGACAAAGGCATCAGTCTCACTGAGCAGCTGCGGGGTCAAGGTAGCTTCTGGTCAGGGGAAATTTCAAGAAAACAACTTCTTCCATGAACCAGAAACTTTTTTTTTTTTCCCCAGCCAGCTCTAGTGAGAAAGTGCTCACTGCAGCTGTGATGCCAGGGAAGACTCTGCCCACTTATGGCTTAAATGCTGCATATCAGCGAAGATGTGGCCTTCGGTGTCGAAACAGTGCTGTGCGACGGTGCCTTATTCACAGACCTTCTCTGCCTTTCTGGGGTCTGTGTTCTGCATAATATACTGAAAAACAAGTCAGATGCTGCATGGGGAAAAAAAAACAACACCAAAAAAAAACAGAAAAGGAGCTCTATGACCAGATGAACTTAACTTGGTTGTTGTACAGTAACTGAATATGGTTGTGTTACTGTTAAGACACTGAACAAGCGAGGAAATGGATGCTGTCTAGTAGTCTGCCAGGCAATATGGTTGAAGAGGGGTGAACCCCCCAAGCCTGCAGCCCAGAAACTACTGCCTCGTGAGATAACGAGATGTCCCCTCCAGCTGTATTTCAGCACACACCACGCCACCCATTTACGGACATTTTGGTGTTCACGCCGTGTCTGTGCTGCACGGGCGGCACGCACGCGTGCCGTGGGGAAAGCCCTCGCCCCATTCTGGACCCTTTCCTGGCAGAGCGAGCTGTGTGACATGGCGCTTAGCAGAAATACAGTCGGGTCTCAGCGCTGGCACTGGACCTCGGTCAGCGGCAAGGACCGACCCGGCTGCTTAATACGCAGTAAACACCTTTCTGAAAGGAGAAAGTCTCTCTGCAAGACAACGTGGTTGACCTGTGCAAATACCCTACTTAAGGTAGAAGAAGGGCAGCTGCAGTACCCTCCTTTAATTAATTACAGCATGCCAGGGTGTGCAGGATGCCCATAAAGCCCGGTGTCCCTCCCCGCCTCGCCCCGCCAGTCAGTGCCACCACAGGCTCCAGCCTGCTCTGTGTCTCGTCTCGGCTGCCCCACTGCCATTTGGGCTCAACGCTGGCCAAATTATGAGTGACCGGAGAAAGCATAGGGGCTGTGAGGAGCAGGACGGAGCAGGGGTACAACGGGGGCAGCGAAGCGGAGGGTTTCTGAGGCACCCGTCTCCCACTGTGATACGAAGAAAGGGACACTCACATTCAACCTTTTTCTCCAGCATTGCCAAGTGATTAGCTACTTCCGTTTTCAGCTCATTGATTTTAAAAACCCTGAAAAGAAAACCCTCATGTATTAATGTTATACACTTAGTGTCGTACCTACCCTAGGTACAAAGGACTTTTGCTAGAAATGTCTACGTTTTTCAGAAGACTGACCCGCCCAGCAGCAGTTGCCACAAGGAAAAGAAAATTTTCCATGGAAATGCTAAAATTTGGGCAGAAAATGCACCCAAGTTTAATTTGCAGAAAAATTAACAACAAATTGTTTTGTTAGGGCCCTGGGAAGGCACCGTGGCTTTGCAACACTTCATCACCCCCTCTATCCGCAGTGACTTGTTATCGTACCCCCTAGGGAAGCAAAGTTAAACTGATAATGCTTCGCCTAACAGCAGCAACACTCTGAAGCCCTTCTCCTTTTGAGCTATGCTGGTGATTTGCTGAGCTATGGTGGGATTGATCTGCCTTGTTGAGAACAGCTGGAGTAAATTAAAGGGCTATACAGATGTTCAGAAATCCTCTCGGAGGAGAGACATGTTTGGGTGATAAAGGAAAAAAATGAAACAAATCAGGTGATTTGACTGTTCAGCGAAGAAGCATTTCTTTTGCTTCCTAAGAGGGCAGGAGCACAATGAGAACATTTATATTTAATACTTGATCTCCTTTTAGATCAAAGATAATCGCC